AGACAACAGATGCTGGAGAGGATGTGGAGAAATAGGAACAATTTTACACTGTTGGTGGGAGTTTAAATTAGTTCAACCATTGTGGAAGACAGTGTGGTGATTCCCCAAGGACCTAGAAATAGAAATTCCATTTGACCCAGAAATCCCATTACTGGCTATATATCCAAAGGATTATAAATCATTCTATTATAAGGACACATGCACACAAATGTTCACTGCAGCACTATTTACAATAGCAAAGATGTGGAATCAACCCAAATGCCCATCAATGATAGACTGGACAGGGAAAATGTGGCACATATACACCATGAAATACTATGCAGCCATAAACAACGGTGAGTTCGTGTCCTTTGTAGGGACATGGATGAACCTGGAAGCCATTATTCTCAGCAAACTGACACAGGAACAGAGAATCAAGCACCACATGTTCTCACTCATAGGTGGGTGTTGAACATGAGAACACATGGACACAGGGAGGGAAGCATCACACACTGAGGTCTGTTGGGGGGGACTCGGGGAGGCACAGTGTGGAGGAGGGAGTTCGGGAGGGATAACATGGGGAGAAATACCAGATACAGGTGATGGGGATGGAGGCAGCAAACCACACTGCCATGTATGTACCTATGCAACAATCCTGCATGTTCTTTACATGTACGGCAGAACCTGAAATGCAGTAAAATACATATATATAAATTTTTGAAAACTTTTTTTTTAAAAAGGCTAAGCATGATGGCTCATGCCTGCAATCTTAGCACTGTGGGAGGCTGAGGCAAGAGGATCACTTGAGGCCAGGAGTTCAAGATCAGCCTGGGCAACACAGTAAAACTCGGCTCTATAAAAAATAGAAAGAAAATATTAACATTGTCACAAATCAATGAAATACCCACATTAAAAAAGCTATGTTATATCTGAAGCCATACAATGAAAAGGCACCATATTGTATATACTGCAAAATGAACGCAGTATTTGCCATCAAATCTCAAGTGATTTGGATTTTTTTTTTTTTTTAAGATAGGGTCTTGCTGTGTAGCCCAGGCTGGAATGCAGTGCCACAATCAGAGCTCACTGCAGCCTAAAACTCCTGGGCAGAAGGGATCCTCCTACCTTAGCCTCCCAAGTAGCTAGGCCTATAGACATGCACCACCACACTTGGCTAATTTTTTTTAATTTGTAGAGATGGTGGGTCTCGCTAATGTTGCCCAGGCTAATCTCAAACTCATAGACTCAAATGATCCTCCTTCCTCAGCCTCCCAAAGTCAGGCCTCCTCAAAAGTCAGGCTTTGAGTTTGCTGCTAGCCTCAAACGTCAGGTTTTAACCAAAACTGCTATGGCCAACAAGCTATCATTTTACATAAATTTGAGCTGTACATGTCTTAAGTTTAACTGCAATAAAATAGTGCTAGTGACTAAATTGTCAAAATCCTGACAAAAGCATGATGCTGTTAAGACTGAGGAAAAGGCCGCCCACCAAATGGAGTAGTTAACACTTTGCAATAAAAGAAAAAGTGTTTTTAAGTCTGAGGCATGAGAATTGCTTGTCCTGGGAGGCAGAGATTGCAGTGAGCTGAGACTGTGCCACTGCACTCCAGCCTGGGTGACAGAGGGAGACTCTACTTCAAAAAAAAAAAAAAGTGTTTTATCATTTGAAAGAAATTTTTTTTTTTTTTTTTTTGAGACGGAGTTTCACTCTTGTTACCCAGGCTGGAGTGCAATGGCGCGATCTCGGCTCACCGCAACCTCCGCCTCCTGGGTTCAGGCAATTCTCCTGCCTCAGCCTCCTGAGTAGCTGGGATTACAGGCACGCACCACCATGCCCAGCTAATTTTTTGTATTTTTAGTAGAGACGGGGTTTCACCATGTTGACCAGGATGGTCTCGATCTCTTGACCTCGTGATCCACCCGCCTCGGCCTCCCAAAGTGCTGGGATTACAGGCTTGAGCCACCGCGCCCGGCCTTTTTTTTTTGAGACACAGTCTTGCTCTGTCACCCAGGCTGGAGTGCAGTGATGCAATCTCGGCTCACTGGAACCTCTGCCTCCCAGGTTCAAGCAATTCTCCTGCCTCAGCCTTCTGAGCAGCTGGGACTACAAGTATACAGCTAATTTTTGTATTTTTAGTAGATATGGCGTTTTATCATGTCGGCCAGGACGGTATCAATCTCCTGACCTCATGATTCACCCGCCTCAACCTCCCAAAGTGCTGGGATTACAGGCATGAGCCACCACGCCTGGCCGATTAATTTCTTTCATGTCTCTGTTAAAGTCTTCAAGTGACACAGACTTTACAAATTTAAAAAATAATTATACCTTCTTAGAAAGCCTGATTGTGTCTATGATGTCCTCAGTTCCTAAATACTGAAAGACTTTTAACTATAATTTGCACTAAATACATTTCATAGTATGCATTGAGTAGTTTTGTATTAATTATAATTTATGGTTTTCTATGACCTCCTTCCTCCCCGCTTCATTACACAGCTGATCAAGAGTTACAAACACACATATACACTGGCACATACGCATAATTTTACCAGTACAAGAGACTACTGATTTTAAAATCTTTACATATAGTATGCATTATAAAATATACATGTTCCTTCTATTCATCTAAAATAAACCAAAAATTTCTTTATACATTCACACTGTAAGACTAAAATTGCCAAAGTTACCTCTACTGTAGCAAGAAAAGACATCAAGGAACATAAGCTATGACCAAAATTTAAAAAGCAATGATTTTCTTAGCTCTTTACTCACAAATCTCATTTTTTCTTCATACAAAATTGTTGGAGTTTTAAATTTCTATACTATTCAGTAACACAGATTTTATGAAATGTTATCTCTGTCTAGAGCACATGATTCTATACTATCATATGAAATTAAAAAGAAACTATCTTTTCCAAAAGAGAAAGCATTTATCATCAACTTCTTTTCAGAAATGCTAAAGAGCTGGTGAGGATAAGCATGTTTATCTTGGTGTTTCCTCTTGTGGACTCACATTCTGTTTGAAATGGTGTATTTTACAAAATCTTACCTCTGCTGGATGCTGAATAATATACAAGTGGGTAGAGATAGGCAGAGGGTGCGCTGGGAGAAATGGACACAAACACACTTTCTGAGGCCGGCTAAAAGGTAAAAAGAAAAATAAAACTGGTAAATTTTTAAAATACAATAACAATTTCTTAAAATGAACTTAATCCCACTGCATTTATACAAAGAGGTTTGCTAAAGCTGACTTCTTTTCAAAATAAAATACCAAGAATGAATTTAATCAATCAGACTTTAGACATGAGAATTTAGAGAAGATTCAAGTAAATTCTTTACCACTTACGTAGATTAATGCACCTCAAAAAAATATCTTATCTTAGTTATATTTAGAGAAAGAATACTTATAAGTCACCTGGTCCCTTTATTCAAAAAAGACACTTCTAATTTGCATTCCAAATCAAGAAGAGATCCCACATCAGAGAGAAACCTGGCAACCCTTCTATATCATTTGAAGTTGAGTAAACAATAAGATGATAAAATATTAAAATACAAATACCATCTAGAGAAAAATACTAATCAGACTTAGCCATCAATCAATACAGAGGGTTTATCAATTGTGAGAATAAACTCAAATAGGCATAACCAAATTATATTTGGCTAGAGTATACTAAAAGAGCATTTGCCTTTCCCATTTAACTTATCCTTTGTTACTGTTTACACTGTCATTTTCATTTTACTTGCTTTTTAGTGCTTTACTATTGTTTAGGTAACTCTTATACATAGTACAAAGTTCAGATAGAATTAAAGGGTATACTTCTTATCTCTGCCCTTCAGCCTATGGTATTCTCTTCCTTTAGGGGCAACCAATGATGAGTTTTTTATGTGTCCCTCCAAAGGTACTGTATGAATAAACATTTATATTTTACCATTAAATCTTATATTTGGTATGCATATTTATAATGTGAAATTCATTAGGCAGCCAGAGTCCAGATATGGGAGTAAATTTTTCACAAATGATTACAGGCCAATGTTATATGCCATTACAATATTATACAAACAAATGTTATTTGTTTGTAAATGGAATTTCCAATAAATAGCATACACACTACTACAAAGCTGATCACTGTCAACTCTTTCCTCAACTTTACTTATGTGGAATTTTAGACTGAGGCTAAAAAAATGTTTATTAATAAATCATAGAGTGTGGGTAAATTGGCTCAAACATCTATTATATATAGCCTCTCATTCTGTAAGAAACTGCCAAATCTATGCTCTGAAGAAATGATCTAAATATCTTAGCCAGAAGTAAAATCACATGATATATGACCCCACCTTTTCTTTCCAACCCCACTGAACTTGGAAGGAAAGATTAACCCAAGAAAAATCAATACACCTGATTTCCAGTGACTTCTGAGATGATTTGGTATGATTGTTCTGCCCCACACTCGATTTCCTCTCAGGAATATGAGGAGATTTATGAGATGGAAAGTCTTTCTGTGGTCACAAGAGGAAACTCAAAAGAGGGGCAAACGGCAATTGATGGAACTGGGTGCACTGACAAACAGATAGAGGACTGCTATAAGAAAGGATTCCTTACTCAGTAGAAAGAGGAACAGGATGACTATAAGAAAGGATTCCTTACTCAGTAGAAAGAGGAACAGGATGAGGTACATTCAAATTCTAAAAAATAAGATTCTGATTCTTTATATTAAGTTAATCAAAACCATAAACTAAAACGATTCAAAAAATAAATAGATCATGCAACTGAAGAATCAAGTAAAAACTGATGTTTCTCCAACATAACCAGGCAAATTTAAATAACGTATCTATATCCTAATAGTATTCCAATGTGGTGGGTGGGATTTTTGTGGTGGGTGAGTTTGACTTTGAACTTTTTAAAATCTATTCAAATTTTGACTAAAGAAAAGCTGTGAGTCCACAAACATTAGCTTTAATCTCTTTAAAAAAAAAAAAAAAACAAAACGAATTTCACTCTGTTACCAGGCTAGAGTGCAGTGGCACAATCTCAGCTCACTGCAACCTCTGCCTCCCGGGTTCAAGTGATTCTAGTGTCACAGCCTCCTGAATGGCTGGGATTACAGGCACATGTCACCACACCCAGCTAATTTTTTGTATTTTTAGAGAGAAAGGGTTTCACCATGTTGGCCAGGCTGGTCTCGAACCTCTGACCTCCAGTTATCGGCCCACCTCAGCCTCTCAAAGTGCTGGTGAAACAGAAAATTTTCCTTGACCCCTTTCCAGACCTCATGACAGGAGTGCCTTGCTTACTCAGCCCATAGCTCTCAACCCCTGAAGCCCTAGAGGGTGTGTGTTACGGAGCTTTACACCAGCACCTGTGGCACCCAAGCTCTTGTTTGGCATCCAGGAAAAATCAGGTCACCTGAATTAATTGAAGGGTGGTAAACATGGAGGATTTTATTGCTAATGAAAGAGGCTCTCAGTGGGAGGGAAAGCTGGAAGAGGGATGGAGTGGGAAAGTGATCTTCCCTGGAGTCCGGCTGTCCCTGGCTAGATTCCTCTCTGAAGCAATGCTGTCAGCCATCCCACTCAAGTCAAGCTACTTTTCTCCAACGTCAAACTGCAGTCTCCACTGTACAGCTGCCTTTCCTCCTCTCCCCTTCTCTTCTCTCTTGTCGGTTGAGTCAGGGGGTTTTCTGTGTACAGGATGGGAGTGGAATGGGCCATGTGTGGTTTCTGAAAAGGCAGCATTCAAGCGGGAAAAAAGAAATGCATGTTCTCACTTTGGGGCACAGTTACAGGCTGGAGGGTGGGGCTTCACCAGGGACCTCGCCCTTTTCTGCCTAGAATTTCTCTGGCTCCTGTTCCTATCACTGGAATTACAGGCGTGAGCCACCATACTCAGCCAACTTTAATCTTTTACAGATAAAAATCCTAATATGATAGTATCCTGTGTTGCCCTAATAATATTTTACCTAAAAGGCTGATTTTTTTTGATAAATGGGTTTCATTTTAATTTAGCACCAAAGAGTTAATATCAAGCCACAAAACTTTTGACGTGAACTTGCTTTGCTAATCATTTTCGACGACAGTATTTTGAAAGAATTTATTTCATGTATGTGCTTGCAAATAAGGTATAATCTTGCAAGATATTCAAGATTGCTCTGTCATTGGGCGTGAATGAAGTAGGTTTCTTTGTATCATTGGGCATTTGAAAGAATGTATAAAAAGCGCAGGATGACTCCTAACTGGTATGTAATGTTTCCAACTTTGCTATTTGAAAGTTCAAAGCCAGTCTGACTCTTGATCCTTAAATACGTGCTTTTTCTCCTCTCCAGAAGCTTTGAAGATCCCTTTGTCTCTGATGTTCTGAAGTTTCACAATCATGTGTGTTGGCATAAGTCTTTCCCCATCCTGTTCTGAGTGGATCCTTAGGCTCTAGAAATTGATTTCTTGCAGAACTATTTATTGATGACCTACTGTGTGTCTGGTTCTATTCTAGGCAATGATCAAACATACAGAATCCTTGCCATGGAGGATATCACATTATAGGTAGATATTGGACATTCTGCGGTGATCCAACAACTTCCTTATTTTTTTTCCTCTTCAATTTCCATCTTCTTGTCTTTTGGTTCTTCTTCCTCAGAGTCTTCAATTTCATCTTCCAACTCGTTTATTAAAGTTTTGCTCCTGCTATATGTTCAATTTTCAAGGGCTCTGTATTATTTCATAAGCACATAACTTCCTTTCTCTCTCTGAAGATTATCTTTAACAGTTTTATTATTTATTTATTTTACTTCTTGCATTATCTCAATATCTCTACATTTTGTTGTCCTGGTTATTTGTTTTGGTCTCTATTTTTTTAATTGCATTTTAGGTTTTGGGGTACATGTGAAGAACATGCAAGACTGTTGTATAAGTACATACATGGCAGTGTGATTTGCTGCCTTCCTCCCCATCACCTATAACTGGCATTTCTCCCGATGCTATCTCTCCCCAACTCCCCACCCCCTGCTGTCCTTCCTCTATTTCCCCTCCAACAGACCTCAGTGTGTGACGTTCCCCTCCCTGTGTCTATGTGTTCTCATTGTTCAACACCGACCTATGAGTAAGAACATTCAGTGTTGATTTTCTGTTCTTGTGTCAGTTTGCTAAGAATGATGGTTTCCAGGTTCATCCATGTCATTACAAAGGGCATGAATTCACCGTTTTTTTATGGCTGCATAATATTCCATGATGTATATGTGCACATTTTCCCTGTCCATCTAGCATCGATGGGCATTTGGGTTGTTTGCTATTGTAAACAGTGCTGCAATGAACATTTGTGTGCATGTGTCCTTATAGTAGAATGATTTATAATCTTTTGGATATATACCCAGTAATGGGATTGCTGGGTCAAATGGAATTTCTATTTCTAGGTCCTTGAGGAAATCGCCACACTGTCTTCCACAATGATTTAACTAATTTACACTCCCACCAACAGTATAAAATTGTTCCTATTTCTCCACATACTCTCCAGCATCTGTTGTATCCAGATTTTTTAATGATCGCCATTCTAACTGATGTGAGATGGTTTCTCAATGTGGTTTTGATTTGCATTTCTCTAATGACCAGTGATGATGAGCGCTTTTTCATATGTTTGTTGGCTTCATATATGTCTTCTTTTGTAAAGTGTCTGTTCATATCCTTTGCCCACTTTTGAATGGGGCTGTTTCTGTTTTTTTCTTGTAAATCTATTTCAGTTCTTTGTAGATTCTGGATATTAGCCCTTTGTCAGATGGGTAGATTGCAAAAATTTTTTCCCATTCTGTTGGTTGCTGATTCACTCTAACGACTGTTTCTTTTGCAGTGCAGAAGCTCTGGAGTTTGATTAGGTCCCATTTGTCTATTTTGGCTTTTGTTGCCAGTGCTTTTGGTATTTTAGTCATGAAGTCCCTGCCTATGCAAAAGGCTGATTTCTAACCTTTGGTAATGAGCTACCTATTATACTATGTTTTTATAATATATATTATCATTCATCAAATGTGTTATGCAATATTTGTTATTAAAGTGAGTCTAACTTCAATTCACTTTGGGGATTTTTAGAACTATATAAAACCTCAATATAACTGAAGTTCCTCAATAGTATCACAAAATCAACTTATTTGAACTGCCCTTT